CTATCGCTTCCTGTGTTATTATATATCCCGGGCCTTGCATTCGCAGACTTGTTGCGGAACGAAATTTTTCGCATATTTAATCATTAATTTTTTTTTTTTTTCTCAACGTTCAATTGAATGGCCAATAAAACTTCCAACAATCGCGTCACGACGCGAAGGAAAGTGAAAGAAAAAGAAAATAAGCGATCGTGCCGCATTCTTCGATTCGTGTAAAATTGCGCGGTTTGCATAATTTCGCTCGAATGCCGAAAATGATGGTGAAGCAACGGCAGTAACACTCCTTGGTGCGGGGTGCACTTCTTTCTCGTCTCTTCTTTTTTCGCATCGTGGTTATTAGCTAAGATATCGGCATCTACTCGCGATGCGCCGAGTCAAGACCACGAACCGTTTATTACGCGTTTTAAGTGGGATTACGAGGGGGCCGGATGCGTGCCCTTTTACAGACGCATAAAGGAATCCGCGACCGAAATTTTCCGCGGCGCGGAGCGACGCCGGTATGTAACACAGCACCGATAAAAACTTTAACAGACATGGCACGCGTTAAGGCCGAGGTCACACCGAGGCACCATCGTCATACTTTAAAAATAAAGGTATATTCGCCTTTTGCTCTTACACATATACACATATACACATATACACTAATGACGATTGAATTAATTTCAAAAAACACGGAAATTAAATTCTATAATAGTTTTCTTGTTTTAAGAATGTTTTTTAAAGACTAATTATTACATGTAAGAATTATTAAATTTGTCGAATTTGATTATAAATTATTTATGTATTATTTCTGAATTAATATTGCAATTATGCAAATATAAAGTGAATAGTTAATTGCACAATAAATATTGGAGTTTTATCCTACCCCCGCTAGCAATCTGCCTATATACTGCAAGTGTGAGTCGGCCTTAAATGGTTTCGTAACGTCATGTCGAGCCCAGAGGTCACAACGGAACGACGACGGGGCCTTATTGCGCGCCGATCGTTCCGAATCGGTCGGTTGCCGTTGAACGCGCGGAGAATATCGCCTTCTTACCACGTTAATTAATTGCGGATCTCGGTTTGCCCGTGCGGAATCGCGCGGTTCTCATTAGTACTTAAAAATAATTGAACTGGATTCCAACGTGTCAAGGCTGGCACACATCGGCCTCGTATCGGTCCTTTTCATGTTGTTCATTAGTCATCAGATTGCTGGTGCCACGATAAACCCCCCCCCCCCCAACAGCCAAAAACCTTTCCGAGTTTTAAGAACTTGTTTATTGCACGATAACGAGATATCGAGATGTCAAAACATGGGATTAGAATAATAACGGAGTAATAGAGAGAATAAAAAAATTCTAATATTAATTTTAGCAGTTTTTCCAAGAGGAAACAAGATGGAACTTACCGGTGACCCTGGTACGATGTCTTAACGAGCTTCACCGCGAAGAGGAACTGTATGGCGCAGACCAGCAGGCAACAAAGATTGAGAGACAGGGCGAGGGCGCATAACGCTAGGGTGACCTCGTAAACGATCACAAATTCTTCCGGGCTGATGAGGCTGTTGGATGTGACCGTAAGAGGCGAGATCTTCAATAGGAAGATGACCGAGAGCAAAGCTAGAAGTAGGGACACTAGACACAACAGTCCGAGACTCGTCAGCATCTCCTTCACGCCAGCCTCGTCGCTTCGATGAAGATTCCTGGATAAGGATGAGGACCAAGAAGCGTTTAGAGGTATTACCGTCGGCGCACCGGTCATTTGATTGGCCACGACGGGAAGCGCAGACACGGCAGGCGCGGGTGATGGCGTGGTCTGACTTGGCAGTCGCGACAGCCTGGAAATGTCAAAGCCGCCGTTCGCCTTTGGCCTGTCCTGATGCGAAAGGCTCGTCTGCGAGATCACGGTGTGACCCAATTGACTTGCCGAGACGTTGTGATTGTTATTATTATTGTTACTGCCACCGTTGTTGCCGTTGACCGGACTAACGCTGTTGACCGAGTGCTTGGAAGTCGACAGAGTCGACACGTTGAGCGCGTGTGAATGATTCAGTCGTTGCGACAGATTGTTGACGCTCAATTGTGAATGGTTCAGCGGATGGCGATGCGTCGACGATGGGGTCGTCGCCGATTGGTGCGCGTTCGACACCGTCGTCGCCGTCGGTCTCTGCACCACGGAATCATAGACGTCGACTCCGCCGTTGTTACCGCCGCGATGACCAGTGATACCGCTGCGCGTCCCGGTGCTTCCGGTGTAGTGATGATGAGGATGTTGCTGTTGTTGCTGCTGCTGCTGTTGTGACTGCGGTTGTTGCTGCTGCTGCTGATCCTGGTGCAGCGAATTGTTGTGTAAGTGATGATGATGTCCGCCGTGCAACGAGCCCGAGCTCGTCTGATAATCATTATGGTGATGTCTGGAGCCCGTTGACGACGGCTGCCCCGTCAGGATGTGCTTCAGCATTACTCGACACGCTGGTGTCACGCGAAGAATGAGGCCTCTTCTCTTTCCTCCTGATGCGGTAATCCTTACATGGCGACCTCGTGACGGAAGAAGATATCGAGTTGCACCGAATCCACCGTGTCATAACACGTAAAACGTTAAACTACGACCTTCCTCAGACTAGATTCGTCATGTTGGAGGACGTCGCTTCTTTCTCCGTCACGCTGAGAGTGCCTCACGACGAAACGAACTATTTGTCAAGCTTTCAAGTCACACCAACACGCAACACACGTTAACTTCAATTCTATTCAATCTAGATTCTCTGTGTTAAAGAATGTCACGTTTCTCTTTGTCACGCTGCGTGAATGTTTCGCACGATGATTGAATTTCTCTTTGAACTTCCAAGTTACACCAAGACCGCCGCGAAGCGTGTCAATTTCGAACGTCAAGTTAATCTCATCTCTGTCACTCTCAAAACTTTCAGTAGCAAAATAAATCGCTTCCTAAATTCCTCGTGCCTTCCTAATCCTAGATACGTGAAGGCACGTCATTCGCCGCGAACGGCTTACAGGCCGGAGATACCTGTCGTTCGTTTTTGCCGCAATTGATACCTTACAGCTAGAAGGAGGGGGGGGGGGGTATGTGTGAACCAAGGCTCGGTTGGACGCTACGTTCCCGGGCTCAGCGAGTTGCTGCACACCAGTTGCTCCACCATGGCGACGGCATCCACCAGACGGCGGCGGCGACTCTTACATATCGGGCATTCACAGCGTGAAACTATGCGACGACAACGGGCAGCGGAACGGGTTCGCTAAGGGCATGATCGGGTCGGTCCGCGAGGGGCCTCTCTCTCTTTCTCTCCCTCTCCCTCTCTGTTTCTCTTTCTTTATCGACAATGTCGATGACGCGGTCGTGCGTGCGTTAAGGCGGCTGCAAGCTCGGTTTTCTATCACCGTCTTCTCGTCGGATACGCGTGAGCTCGTCAGCCGGCATGGCTTCCGAGATGGTGCCGGCGGTGCCCCTGGAACAGGTCGGAGAAAATAATTAATGGACTGACTGTTCACTCTCCGCTGTCGGTCGGAATAGTCCGACCGTAAAAAGAAGGATAGATATGGGGTATAATCTACCCGGCGCGCGGAAAACGCGGATCTCTCTCTCTCTCTCTCTCCTTCTCTCTTTCTTTCTTGTACCTCTGAATTTTGCGCAAGCCGAAATGCTACGTGACGAATTCTCCGTCTCGAGCGGAACGGAATTTCAAGAATTTCACGTAACTTGGAGAAAAAAAAAAACGTGACTATTCAGCTGAAACCAAGCATTAAAATCAAAAGCATTAAAATGAAAATTGCGGAAAAAGGACTGACGTATGACTCACGAAAGCGAGCGGTAAAATAGGTAAAATACAAATATAAAATACGTCTCTCAAATACAAACGACGAGCAGAATCGCTTCGTTTTAACGCACCGTTGGCTGGTCGCATCGTGACGGAGCGCTTTAAAGCGCGATCGTCTCTACTAACACAGAATGTAACGTGAAGAGGTTCTGGAATCGAAATTATCACCGCGGTTTTTTGCCAACGTCTCTCGATCAAAGCGTAAAAAAGCTTCCCGACACTTAACGCTCGTTTTGGAAATTCCAACTTTATTTCTTTACGATTCTAAGTAAATGTTACTCCTATTTCTTTGCAATGGCAGTTAAACAATCCCTCGAATGTCTATCTTTGATGGAGATATTTGTGAACGTGAAATTTTCAACACGTTTCCTCGAACGTGTTGAGTGCCGCGAACAGTCCGCTCCGTCCGAGGATTAGAAGCCCCGAGGATGCAGCGGCGTAATTAGAAGGATCGCGTGGTGGTGCGCGTAACACTTAACGGGCAGACGATGACCTTTAGCGGCGGCGCGGATATGGCGGAAAAGTCGCGTTACCAAGTGGCATGCGGAGAGTCGTATATCTGATCGCGACGCGAATAATCCGAAGACAAATTGCCCGCAATCGCGCCGCGAGATAAGGGGGGGAATCGCGAGGGAAAACTGGCCAACTTAAACAGTGCCTGATGTTTTGCGCGGATACAATCGCGTCGATACTTCACATTTACAGTGTTGCTCGCGTTATTATCACTTTCTACGACCGCATACAGCGGCCTCCCGTGGTGGAGGGAAGGGAGAAGGACTCGTTGTTCACATACATTTCCTCTCACTCGGCACGAGCGGGTCACGCGAGCTCGTCTCTCGGCTTACCTAACGGAATGCATCTAGTCATCTAGAGCGTAATTGCAATTAGCAATTCCCTCTATGTGAATTTTGAGAGATAATTTTCTTAATTAAACTGTCACCGTGGGAAAATAATGTTTGAACTATCGAACGCGACTGACCGAAGGCGTTGCGATAAATATAATAAATAATTCTCGACGAAGCTCCGTAAATAATTTTAATTTAGACGAAATTCAAGATTTTATTTTGTCTTATATCGTAGCAATTTTAATTTGAAATTTAATCGACACATTTCGTATTAACAATAATACTTCTTTTCTGTAGGTATTCATATTAAATATTCACGATGAAAAAAAAAGAGGGTAATAATATGGAAAAAAATGATTCCAGTGTCACGTCAATCCATTTCATGCGACACAATGATTAAATAGACGGTGTATATACTTTATTGAACATGCCATTACTGTGAACCACGAAGAAACTGTCATACCGGATCGATGAACTCGATTGTAGTGGCGCCGCAACGCCTACATGTCATATAAAAAACATGCTTACGATGTCTTCTGTTACCATTTTACTCGTATAAAAAATATTTTCGTATTTTTCATCATGTTTCTCCAAAATGAAGAATTCCAAAACATATCGAAAACAAGACAACGATTATTTATAATATAATTTTTTTAAATAAAAACCCGAAGGAAACACGATCGATCTGTCTATCTATTGCATCTTTTCGTGATACCGTTATGTCATTTCCGCTTCTCGTCTTCTTCTTCTTCTTCTTCTTCTTCTTCTCCTTCGCGATAGTAAATCTGCGTCGCGTTTCGGTCATTTGCGCCGAAAAATCGACGCGATTGACCAATCGAGAAACTTACAATCGCGCGCTAACTCGATTGTGAAAACCGCTGGAAGCTACATATTTATTTCGCATTGTCTTATTTTACGAGGCTGTATAAAATTTCCTCGTAGAACGAACTCGAGCCAGAATGCGCTCAAACACAAATTTCCAGGTCACTGCTAAAGAATTTAAGTAAACGAAGTCCAGAATACATCGTCGCAACTTGAAGCATGCAGAAATAAAAATGCAGCTTCCTCGTGTTCCTTCAAGTGTCTCAGACTTTTTGTAAATCGTTTATTGAAACAAAATTATTATATAAAATTAATTTTTGTCATACCTTCGCTGTTTTATTTCTGGATGATCTAACTAGAATCTTATTTTGTTCTAATTCAAGTATACGACAATCGGTCATTTCGTTCTCTTCCAACGTTCTCTTTCGAGAATCCAAGAGAAGACTAATCGCGCGCGCGATTCTAATTCGTAAAAGAAATGCATTTCATCAAAATTAGCATTGTTCGTCATCCGTGAGCCAATTACACGTTAAATGTGATTCTACGTGCAACTCGTCGTCATGGTACCCTGAGTCCTTATCGAAGGCTTAACTCATGCAATCTTCGTAACATGATTCGATCCCGCAAATTCCTCCTCTCTCTCCCCTTTTCTCTCTCACCCTTTGCCGCCGCACGATACATCGGATCGCGTGCTACGATCCAGAACCGCAAGATCGGCTATCGTGGACCGCGGGCACGTCTCTCTCTCTCTCTCCCCCCCTCCTTCTCTCTTTCCGTCTCTCTCTCCGTCTTGTCAATAGTCAGGCTTAACTCATAGAAACGGGTTCCGCTCGCATTCCGGACGTCCAGCCTGCCGTTCGCGGCGGAAAGCCGCATCGCCGTATCGATATCTGCGCGCGTGATGAACAGGATTCCGGTAAAACGCGACTGACGAGAAGTGCTCGTAGTGTTCGAGCTTTGACAGAATAAAGGATGAGATTCTGCAGAATTGTTGGAGAATCGTAGAAAACATTTTTGACATTTCAGGATCGATGTTAGATCCTCTCTCTTCTGCTAAATTCCATTAAAATACGAACCAAAATTTTTTTACACACTGCTACTTTTAAACATCTAAGTTCGTCCATTTCCTAGCTCTCTCTTGGTACAAAAAGATAATTTCTGATAATTCTTTTAGATACTTTTTTATCTTCCTCTCGAAGAGAAAGTCTATCCATCATTGTCTATCCATCTAGAGTTTCAATGGTTGTCACGTTAATCCACGCGCCCATTTGCTCAGTGAAATGATTACTTATTCGTCGTCGAAGTATTAATCGGCGGGCACCTCGAGATAATCGGCAAAGACATTATTATTCGTTATTCGTGATTCGTAAAGTGAAAAACGACGTACGGACTCCAGTTGCGCAGATCGCTAGACTAATACGGGATGTATTTAAGTTCTCTGACTCGCTTGTTTATTTGCGGCTGCGTGATTTGCATAGAAACAGAGAAGCGTAGTTTGAGGAAGTCGCTTATTAGCGGCAACAACCATGATATTATCGGTACGGTGCCGTTGACATCATTATCGTCATTTCCCATCGTTTCGCTCGCCTAGTGAGAATCTCTAAGCAGGATGGACGATGTTCGTTTATTACCGCGTCGCATCGATTACAAACACTTTTTAACTCTCGACATCGAGTCAACCCCTAGGGAGAATCCTATATCAAACCTTCGTCACACATTCCATTTTAAAGAATTTATTTCAGTAAAGGCTTAGAAGAAAAAATTAAAAAATCAACAATCAACATTTCCGTTCTAAAGAAGTGAATATTTCAGGAGTCTGACTGATCAACTTTTAATAAAACTTTTCTTCATTTTAGTTTCAGAACATTTATAACTTCATCGATTTTCTTTACTTGTTATTTCTTACAGTTTTGTGAGAAACTAGTAATTAAAAATGCTACTGTGTACAAAAGAATATATATTTGCAAAACAATGTTTCCTAGAGAAAGAGAGACAGGATAAACGGTTCATATTGTACTAAAATTTCGTATGTTTTTTCCACGTTCCATTTGCCGACTTCGCGAGGTATTGTTTCGGCATTGTTACGGCGCGGCCAGCGAAATTACATGGGATTACATGTGTGAGGTTTCCCCGGCTACGGAGCGAAGGCCTATGCGCACCGTTCTTATCCAATTTCACGACCTCGTCGTCGTCGTCCATGCGCGGTCGCGGCTTCGTCTTTCTCCTTTTTATTTCCTGTCGGCTCTCCCGGCCGTATCGCGATCGTCCGGCGATCGATATTTACGAGATAAATAGATCGCTCAAAGCAAGTGAATCCCGCGCGTATCCCCGCTTATTGTACAATTTGACGCCGCCTTAACGCACTGCGATTTGTTCAGTGCTCGCAGTGATCATTTCAATATCTCTCTTCGAATTGAGCTATTTGCGCGTCCAATCACGTCGTCAAGTATATTACTCATAACGTTGCTTTCTCGATTCGATCCATGCAAATTATTAAATTATTTCATCTACTCTCAGTGCGGTTAACGAGCCTTTCTTTAGAACCAATGGCAAGTGTGTACAAACTCTCTCTGTTTCTTACCTCTCTCTTTTTGTAAAAATATGAAATGTATTCACGTGCCGTCTGGTATAATCCCGCAAATGTGAGACTCGCAAAGTCGCGTTAATGATCTGTTAGCGCACAACGGTGCGATTCCCGGAAGTCGCTATAGAGCTATAACGCGATCCACACGAGGTGACGTCTAATATTTCTGATTGGAGAACCGATGGAATCTGGCCTTTACAGACAGGTTCCTTTGAGAACACCTAATGACCATGTATCTTGTATGGGCCGAGTTTGGCTTAAGTTACCGACGCGCGAGGGAGCACCATAAATACGCTCGTAACGCGCCGTCGTTGCCGAAATTTATTTTCGTTGTCCTTTAAGGGTAGATTGCCCGAATGTTGGAAATTATCGTGAGCGTT